TCCATTTCTGGCCATATGTATTTTTAAAAGCTCTAACCTGCCGATAACGAAGACGTTTTGGTGTTTTGCTGGATCTCAAAGACCTACGAGGAAGAATTTTAGATTTCCTTAAAGCTGGATAGGGTTAAGACAGTTCTCCGTGTCGCGTCAAATGATCATATAATCATTTAAAACATATAGTCTTATACTCTGATCGCCTCTCACTCTGTTAAAGTGTATCTTAGTCTTCTATGTGTTTAACAGAGAGAGATGGATTCACATGTCAGGAGGCAAAGGAAGTGAAGGGGGGATCTGTAATGGTTAAGGACCAGGGGGTTTAATGGTGGGAACGAGGACCAGCTGTTTCCTAAGCAGAACTTCACTTTATATTAACTTTCTTTATCACTTTATTAAATATAACAAAAGACAAACTTTGTTCATGAATCAGTTTCTCTTAAGGATGTCCTCCACACTGTTTCTCCTCCTTCTCTCCTGATATCCCCCCTCTCTTATCATTCATCTCCTCTCTCCCCTCACAGCTGGTTCCACGGGAAGATCACCCGTGAGCAGGCGGAGCGACTGCTCTACCCCCCGGAGACGGGCCTGTTCCTGGTGAGAGAGAGCACCAACTACCCCGGAGACTACACCCTGTGTGTCAGCTGCGATGGGAAGGTGGAGCATTATCGCATCATCTACCACAACGGGAAGCTCACCATCGACGAGGAGGAGTACTTCGAGAACCTCATGCAGCTGGTGGAGGTGAGCAGCTTGACTTTGATACTAACACTGAATGTCCTCTTCCAGTATGAGAGTAACATGATAACAAAGGTATCCCAACTGTAGCTGTGAACATGACAGGATGTGTGATTACCTAGAAGAGCATCAGGACTGTTTGAGGCATATGATAGCTATGTGATTAACATGATGATTCAGCCTCTATGGAGAGAGACATATGACAAGCATGATCATTTCTGACGTGGAGCTAATCTGAAGTAAACATTGAATACTGCTTTCTATTCCTCCATCTTGTGACTGTGTAACTCCCTCTCTTGGATATCAGCATGTGAAGGACACTGTTTGAGATTTTGCGAAAAAATCAGAATGTTGAGAAAAAGTCAGAATTTTGAGAAAAAAGTCAGAATTTTGACATTTTGAGAAAAACGACAGAATTTTGACATTTTGAGAGACTTTTTTTTTGAGATTCTGAAAAAAAGGCATAATTTTGAGAGAAA